TGGTGATGAATCGTTCTCACCTAGCGAACGGAAACGTTGCAGTGCACGATTACCCGAATCAAGCTCAAGCTCAGTATATGCTACAACAGCAACAGCGTTTGAACCAACAACAACGGATGCAAAGTAAGCTAGCTCTTTCCTGTCCAGCGATGTGTTTTTACTGACGAGTTCGTTATGTAGCGCTGAGCTCCGCCGTTTCCAATGGCAGCTATGCCATGAATGCTGCGGACTTGGCTGGACCTGGGGGTAACTTGTATACTCCATCAACAACAGGTGGCCTTGTGAACAATGGAGTTGCTCTAAACGCAATTAATCCTCAACTTGCGAAATCTTCGAGTCAACAGCAAGGGGTGGCGATGAGCTTACAGCAACAGCGAATGCAGCAGCAGCAACAGCATCACCAGAAGCAATTGCAGCAACAAATGCAGCAGCTGCAGCAAAGGCAACAAGCCGCACAACAGCAGCAGCCGCAACAGCAAGATCAGGGAACAACGTTCCAGCAACTCTCTGACTTAACCAAGACCTCATTAGACGTCCAGAATGTTGTCCCGGGACCTGTTGTTCAGATGGAGCAGTCGGATCAAAAACCGTCCCCGCAGGTTCAGCAAACATGGCAGGCGCAAGAGAGGGAGGTGAAAAACATCGCCAACGAGAATCATGTCGTGTTCCCGGAGACACAGAAACAGTTACAAACTCCGAATAGTGAGACCTTACAACCGAAGCCGGAGCCGGTGAACGAGAGCGTGCAAGTGACCGAGCACCAACAATCACCACAGCCTGCTCCTGCCGTTTTGAAGCAGGAACAAGGAAGTCCGTCGTCTATGGTATCAACTCCGGGAGGAGCGGCTGCCCAGCCTGAAAGCAACGGCTCTGGAACGGGACCCCAGCCAGTGATCAGCAGTACTCGTGCTCAGCAGTACCTCAAGCAGCAGCGCTGGCTACTTTTTCTCCGTCATGCAACGAAATGCTCCGCCGCGGGTGGACAGTGCATATGCAGTCCTCACTGCCAAACTGCTCGCCAGCTGCTAAGTCACATGTCCAAATGCCGGGATCGTGAGTGCCAATATCCGCGGTGCAGTGCCTCGATGAAGTTGCTCACACACCATCAGTCGTGTCGTGACGCTAGATGCCCGGTTTGTGGACCTGTCCGGCAGGCCATCTTAAAGCAAACTCACCCTCCGCCAGCAGACCAGATGGGATCTCCTCCGGGTTCTAAAGATGGTGGCCAGCCACCTCTGAAACGGCCCAAGGTGGCGTCGCCAGACTCTACTACTATGGAGAATGGTGATGGACCCGTCAAGGTCGAGTCGAAAGAGGTTATCAAAGCTGTGAAGGCTGAAGCACCTCATGGTGGTGGCGTCCGGAACGTGAAGCCGGAGCCTGTAGCAAGTGACGTGAAGCATCCCGGGAACGCGATTGTTAAGCACGAGTCTGGTCCAAGGATTGGCAAAGGAGGAAAGCCGAAAATAGTTGGCGTCTCGCTAACAGAGATCTTCACCATCGAGCAAATCAAGCAACACATTGTGAGCTTAAGACAGTGGGTTGGCCAGGTACGTGAGGAATCACTAGAGTTTCTTTCTCGTGCTCATTCATTTTCTTAGCAGAGCAAGTCCAAAGCAGAGAAGAACCAGGCCATGGAACTTCAGGCAAACGAGCACGCTTGTAGATTGTGTGCAGTTGAGAAGCTTTTCTTCGATCCACCACCTATTTATTGCACGAGCTGCGGGATACGAGTGAAGCGAAACGCACTCTACTATACAACAGCGGTTCGTGAAACTCGACACTACTTTTGCATTCCTTGTTACAACGATGTTCGCACGGAGAATGTCGAATTGGAAGGCCTTACGTACGCTAAGTCGTGCTTGGAGAAAAGGAAGCACGACGAAGAGCAAGAAGAGGCGGTAAGCTATGTCGTTTGCAAACGGGATTTCTGTACTCAAGTTTGATTTTCGCAGTGGGTGTGCTGCGACAAGTGTAACTTATGGCAACATCAAACCTGCGCGCTTTTCAATAGCAGGAGGAATGAGGGTGGAGAAGCGGAGTATACTTGTCCCGAGTGCTGCATGGCTGAAATGGAGTCGGGCGAAAGAGATCCACTGCCAGTCTCGGCTGTCCTCGGAGCCAAAGACCTTCCTCGGACGTGGCTAAGCGATCACCTCGAGTCCAGACTCACTCTGAAGCTCAGGCAGGAGCGATCTGAGCGCGCTAGAAAGGAAGGGAGAAGCCATGACGAGGTATGCAGCTCACTGTTTTTACACGAATGTACTCAGATAACTGCGTGAAGGTTCTCGGCGCGGAGGGGCTGGTCGTGAGGGTTGTTTCCTCCGTGGATAAAAGGCTGGAAGTCAAACCTCGGTTTCTAGAAATCTTTCAAGAGGAGGATTACTCTACTGAATTCCCGTATAAATCAAAGGTGAAAGTTATTTTTATATTTGGTAGTCCTTTTTTCTCTGACTGGTTGGAATTTCCAGGCAGTGCTACTTTTTCAAAAGATTGAAGGAGTGGAGGTTTGTCTTTTTGGAATGTACGTTCAAGAGTTTGGAGTGGAGTCTGCGCAACCAAATCAGCGGCGGGTGTATCTTTCTTATTTGGATTCCGTCAAATACTTCAGACCAGCAGAGGTGAAAACACCAAACGGAGAGGCACTAAGAACTTTCGTTTATCATGAATTGCTGGTAAATTTTCTCTCTTCTTACCTTACTTTTTGTAACTTGATATTCCTTGCAGATTGCTTACTTGGAGTATTGTAAAAGGAGAGGTTTTACCAGTTGCTACATTTGGGCGTGTCCGCCTCTGAAGGGCGAGGATTACATTCTTTATTGTCACCCTGAAATTCAGAAGACTCCAAAGTCGGACAAGTTGCGAGAATGGTATGTGGTTTCCATCTTATTCTTTCAGTTCATTGACCTTTCCCCCCCTTTTTGTGTTATATTCTCAGGTACTTAACGATGCTTAGGAAAGCGTCCAGGGAAAATATTGTTGTCGAGATTACCAATTTCTATGACTTTTTTTTCATATCTCCTGGCGAGTGCAAGGCCAAAGTGACCGCTGCAAGGCTTCCATATTTCGATGGTGATTATTGGCCGGGTGCCGCAGAAGATATGATACTGCAACTACAACAGCAGGATGACGATGATGGATCAAAGCAGCAGAAAAAGGGAAAGATTAAAAAACCGCCAACGAAACGCGCCACAAAGACTGCTGCTCAGGCGGAAATGGCTATCAACGCTTCAAAAGATGCGCAACTCATGCAGAAGGTGGGTTTTTCTTTTTCCAATGCCATGAATTTACATCGTGCTTTTTCCTTGCAGCTTGGGGAGTCGATAATGCAAATGAAGGAAGATTTTATTATGGTTCATCTACAGCACACTTGCACACACTGTAGAAACTTTATATTGACGGGCTGCCGCTGGGTTTGCCGGCCTTGTAAGACCTTTCAGCTTTGTGATAGGTAAGAATCTTTCAATTACTTGCTCCGGTAGTTTGGCAACTCCGCTTGCTTTGTGCAGGTGCCATGAAGCAGAGCTAAAACTGGACGAAAGGGAAAGACATCCTGTCAATAGCAAGGAAATGCATTATCTAACTCCGGTGAGTAATCATCCGAGAGAATTGTTGGTTTTGATAATGACACACTTGTTTGTGTGCTGTGTAGATCGAAGTTACCGATGTTCCACCAGACACCAAGGATAATGATGACTTAATGGAGAGTGAATTCTTTGACACCAGACACGCGTTTTTGACCCTCTGCCAGGGGAATCACTATCAGTACGACACACTGCGGCGGGCCAAGCACTCGTCTATGATGGTGCTTTACCACTTGCATAATCCTATGGCCCCGGCGTTCGTGGTGACGTGCTGCATTTGCACCCACGACATAGAACCAGGACAAGGCTGGAAGTGCGAGACCTGTACAGAGTACGACGTTTGCAATGGCTGCTATTACAAGGAGGAGACAAGGAAGCATCCTCACAAGCTCGTGCAACATCCATCAGCATCGGAGCGGAATGCTCAGAACAAGGAAGCGAGGCAACAGCGGGTGCAACAGGTTTGTGTGAAATTGAACGTTCTGTCACTGCTCACAACATTTTTATTTCCTTGTCCAGCTTAAGATGATGCAGGAGTTACTCGTTCACGCTTCGAAGTGCTGCACAACACAGTGCCAATATCCAAACTGCGGAGATCTCAAGAGGCTGTTCCGGCACGGAATGACATGCCAAAAGCGAGTTATCGGGAACTGCTTGCACTGCAAGAGGATGTGGAGCTTCATGCAACTACATGCGAGATCTTGCAAGCAAGCGGACTGCCGCGTGCCTCGCTGCAAGTAAGTACCTCTATCCTTTTTCTTCTTTGTGGTTTTCGCACAGAGACTAACCATCTCTTGGCAGGGACCTGAGAGAACATTCAAGAAGAAACCAGCTCCAAATGGAGTCTCGACGACGAGCGGCGGTGAACGAGATGATGCGGCAACGCACTGCGGAGACTGCTGGCAGGAAGCAATAGAGGCAGCGAGGACTTCTTCCAACACGTTATTCTTTTTTTTTCCTTTTTTTTTTGGCATCGGCGGACGGACAGAGTGACTTGACTTCATCGACGTTGTGTTCCAATTTTGACAGTCGTTGGGAAGCAAGCAGTACAAGGAACAACGCTTGCTTTCTTGTGTCTCTTCCCAGAGCAAAGGTAAACTTCTCTTCGATCTTTTTCGTCTAGTGTGGCCACGAATGATCTAACTTTCTTCTTGTGCTTCTTTCCTTTTGCAAGGTTGAAACAAAGCGCAAGTACCAAACATCCCAAGGAGAGACAAAGATGAGAGAATGAGAGAGTGACAATCAGGACAGCGACACACCAGTGTACATAGAAGTTTTCTTTTTTTCCGTGACTCATCAGAATTCATGTAAAGTTCCATGTAAGTGTGAGAGAGTGAGAGAATTCCTTTGTATTTACTTAAATTATATATAGGCGAAGATTATTCCACCTCCTTTCTCTTTTTGAATAGTTCTACCTTTAAGCAAACATTGTGATTCTCTTTATTGAGTGACAATGATATGTATCTACCTTTCTCTTTTCGAAAACTTATTGTCTACTGATTCATCAGAGTTTATGTGTCACGGTGCAACCAAGTTCTACCTTTAAGCAAATTTCCCTAAAAGGATTTTGATATATATCTACCTTTCTCTTTTCCAAAACTTATTGTCTACTGACAATAACTTCCAAGAAGATTCCAAGGGACAAACACATCTCAATCGCGCGCCAAGAATATTTACACTGGATCATACCTCCCGCAAATATGTATGATCCCATCCCAGAGATTCGAACGATCGATCCTAGGAGACAAAAAAAAATCGTATCCAGAGCCGCGGTAGTGGAGTGGGGCATCATTTCAGGGCCACTCAGCCTTTCCCATTTATGAATGGCTGTGAGAGATCTCCTGTAGACAACCACAAAAAAAATTCCACGGTGAGAAACGAACAACAGCGACTGGAGGATTCGCGTGACCACGAAAAAATATCACTTTGAATCTGTCCAACGTACCCGAGGAGGATGCGCGAGATGACGAATCTTTTCCAGCCTCGCGGAGCCCCCGGATCTTCTCGGCGGCCTCGTTCACCACCAGTCTCGAGAGCAGCAGCCCCGCCATGAACGCCGAGGCCATGAGCATGAGGAAGACGTTGTCCCAGCCTTGCTCCGAGATGTAGCCCGTGAGCAGCGGACCCACGGCCGCTCCAGCCGATCCACACCCGTCGATGATGGCGGTCACAGTGGACAGCGCCCGAGCATCGCCACTCAAGCTGCTGTGCGTCCCCAGGTCCGCGGACACCGCCGTGGTGATGAGCGCGTAGGGGCCGTTCACCAGCATTCCCAGCGCCAGCATCAGCCCCGCGTTGAGAGGCATGGAGATTGCTCCAAACTCGTGGTAGAAGAAGAGCGCCGGGATCGCGCAGTACGTGAAAGTTGCCGCGGTGATGGCCCGCGCGTTGAGCTTGTCCGAAAGGTGGCCGGCGAGAACACCGCCGAAAACGCCGCCTATGTCGAACAGTATCGAGAGATTCGCGGCTGTCGTGTCGGAGAGGACGACTCCAGCAATTCCTGGAAGATCAAAGAACAATTGTTTAGAAACCACCGAAAAGAAAAAGTGAAAAAGAGCATGGACTTACTTGTGTGTCGTACATAGAACGGTAGCCAGTAGAGAAAAGTGTAAGCAACCAGCTTCGAGAAGAAGAGACAAAACGCGAATGGAGCAACTCCGGGTATCACCCACGCCTCCAAGAACCCGACGGGTTGATCGCGTCCGGGGCTGGAGTTTTTCCTCACCTGGGCCTCTGGATCCTGATCATCTCGATCCGAAACGAGGCTGGAGCTCGACGATGATCCAGCCTCATCTTCCTCCTCCTCGTCGCTTGATCCTTGCACGGACGAACTCTCGCCACCGCCACCATCGTATGGAGATGGCAAATCCACGTCTCGCGGATCCACCACCAGGAACAAGTAGACCATCACGCCACCGACCATGATAAGCAACCCCGGGAGTAGAAACGACCACCCCCAGCCGAATGGAAGAACCGCCGCTCCAACCAGTGATCCAACGATGTTTCCAACCGAGGTGTGAGCGTTCCACACGCCCATGATCAATCCCCGCTTGGATTTCCCACACCAGTTCCCAACGATGGCCACCACCGACGGCCATCCTGTTGCTTGAAAGAGCCCCGCGATCATCTGGACGAAGAGGAAGTAGTAGAGGCTGTGGATGTTCCACCAGTAGCCCAGGCCAAAGAGGCAAACGAAGGTGCCGCTGCCCACCATCCCCATCGTGAGGAAGATCCGCAAGTCGAGCCTGTCGCCGAGATGCCCCGCGAAGAACATCCCCAGCGCGTAGCACGCCAGGAACGCGACGTCGATCTGGCCCAGCCGGGATTTTCCGCCCTCTTCGTTGAATGGAGCCCAGCCGGCGGCTCTGGATTGGAGCCGCGCCGCATTCGAGGCATCGCGGGGGACGAAGAGCCAGCTGAGAGGCCTGGCGATGGCGATTTCTTGGACAGCGCTCGCGTTGCCGGCGACCGCGATGGCGGCGATGGAATCGATGGCGTTGATATTGGGATTGCTGGAGCCTGTCTCTGGATCAAGAACGCTCTTGACGATGCTCGGCGGCTTGCGGGAGGCGTGGTAGCAGGCGTAGGCGATGAAGGTGATGACGAGAATGAGGCCCTTGCCCACCCGGAAATTCCTGCCCGCGATCGCTCTCGCCACACGGATCCCCGGTGGAGCGCTCCGGAAGCGATCCATGGATCCCTGGAGCAGAGCCGCGGCCGAAATATCACCCCAGACCCAGAGATTTCGCGAAATTTCTTGGATCAATCGATGAGCCGAGAGCTCGCTCGTCGATATCACCAAAAATCCAGCCCCACAGAGTCCAGAATCCGTGAAACCTGAAACTTACACAAGAAATCTCGCAAACCGGAGCTCCAATCCGTGAAATCGATGCTCCAGCGCCTGCATTACAAGCGCGCTATCGAGGGAAGAAAAGAGAGAAAAATAGGAGAAAAACGCAAGAAAGCGTACATTGACCGTCCGATATGTGCCTCCGTTTAAGAAGGCCGGTATATCCGAATCCGTGGGAAGGGATATCCCAGAATTCCAAAAACTTGGCTGCTGGGGTACGAAAGCTCAAACGTGGCCACTGGTGGCCATAAATTCGTGCTATGGTGTTGCGACACATCTAGGTTTGAAATTTCGTGAGCTAATGAACTCTATATGACATGGAAGCGCGGGAAATGGTCCACGCGGGATGTGCCAGTCACAGTTGACGGTAGACGGCCAAATATGTCCGGAATTTCAGACCAGATATGGTTCCGGGAAGGTATAATATGTGATCAATCGATTGAAAAGATTAGGTCAGCTTAAAAGATGGAGATCTCCTCCAAAGTTATGGCTATGGGGCTCATTCTTGTAATAATGGTTGTTTCAGCAAAGGCACGAGGTGGTCCTATGGATTTATCAGCGATGGGACAACAGGTTTCTTCTCCACCGTTGGGATCACCATCACCATCGTTTGTATCACCACCTCCACCTTTCCTATCACCGTCACCGTCACTATCACCATCACCACCACCGTCATCACTACCACTATCGCCCACACCACAACCAATGGAGTCACCATCGCCCACACCACAAACAGTAGAGCCACCTCAAATTCTATCGCTACCGTCGGCATCCCCGCCTTCGTCGCCACCGTCACCGTCACCGTTACCTTCACCTTCACCTTCACCTTCATCATCATCGCCATCCAGCCACAAAGGATTGAGCCCTGGACAAAAGGCTGGGATTATCTTTGGAGTGATATTGGGAATTGCGTTAGTGGCTGTTGCTGGCTACATTTACTGGAAGAGAAGAGAGGATTGTAGATTTAGGAGACATTTCAACATTTCAACATCTAAACTTGTATTCTAGGGCCTAGTTGGCAGATTTATAAATTGACACGTATGCGTTTCTATCTGACGTGTTGCATTGTTTGTTTGAGTTTTAGGGTTCTTGGGCATGGCGCAGCAGGGGTTTACGCGGGCAGTGGTTCTCGACGAGGCGATTGTTTTCCAGCAGTGCGATGAGAATGCAGCTGATTCCCTGCGGCCTGGCGCCGATAAGCTCTTAATCCGGCTCAGTCGTTCGGGATTGTTTGTGGTACAGTGTGTTTTTCGCTTTTTTTCTTCCAGAGATTGATCGATCATGCTTGATAGGGACTCTTCTTTCGATCCGATATATCGGCAAGAAAGGTAATCGGCTGTGTTTTTCCCCATGCGAGAGGTTGATCTTCTTACAGTCTCAGGCTTTGAGAGAGATAGGAGTTTCCAAAGGCCTTCATTTGATTCAAACTTTCTCGGATCAAAGCCAGGTTCTTTCAGAGGCTCAGTGCGTGGTCGTGTGCGCCGAAAAGAATTTGGAGGAATTCAAAGCATCGCTTGACAGTAGCTGGAACTTTATAGCTGCTGAAGATTCAACACTTCAACTTGAGTCTCTACCTTTCGCGATCACAAGCTTGATAAAAAAGGTGTGATTCGACCTCTGATAAACTCGCAAAGCTCAGTTTTTCTATTTTGTTTTTCTTACAGGAACTTGGAAACAAGATCACTCTCGTTGGTCACTGCATGAACTGGAAGAGGGAGAAGGATTTGCTTCAGGTAAGAAAGAAGAGCTCTTGTTTTAGAATAATTTGAATGCTTTTTGTTTTTGTAGAGGGGTGCGCTCCCGTTTATGTCAACGTTTGGAATGTCTTTCACTCCATTAGATTTATCGTCTTCCCTGGATCGGCAACTTAGTGTGGTCGATATCGTGTTGAACAAAGCCACAGACGAGATTGTGAGCGTTTCAAAGGTGGTCTCGGACACCAACGAAAAATGGATAAATTTCTCTGACCGATTCAACAAGCTGGAAAGGTACCTTGCTTCTCTTCGTTTATCTATTTGGATTTCTCATTCTGCATACATACAGGTATCTGCAGGAACATCCGGACATTCATGTCGTGGATCCTACTGATCGAGTGACACCCCTTATGGATCGTGTCGCTACTCAATCTCTTCTCGAAGAGCTACCACTCATAGAGGTTGCTGCTGGCGGGCCAATTGTTCGTCCTCCTCGTTGCGTTAAGGTAACTCAAATCTTTAGTTTCTTATTTTTCAGTGACAAGATATACAGGTGACAGGATTTGATGATGCTGCCCTTTTCGACAAGCTGAAGTCTGCGAACTTGGTGGTTCCTACTATTGTTAAGCCGCAAATTGCTTGTGGTGCATCGGAGTCACACACCATGGTTTGTACTTTGATTAGAATAGTGCTTTTATCTTTTTTCCCGGGCAGGCTATTGTTTTCGAGGATCGTGGCTATTCCAACCTTGCTGTGCCTCTTCCAGCAGTTATTCAGGTAAGTCAGGTACTTCATCGGGACTGTGGTCTTACATGCTCCGGTTTTGTAATAGGAATACGTTGATCATCAATCAGTCATCTTCAAATTTTATGTTCTAGGCGAGCAGGTGTTTTACTCAACCAGGAAATCTACTCCGGACGCAGTCGTGCTACGCACGATGATCAACACAGAAGCGCCAAGTATTGTGTTTGACAGGTACGCCATACATTTCCTACTTTCCTAGATCCATGAAGCCTAACACCTCTTTTTAGTTTGAAAACTTTACCGACTGGAAGAGCCGTCGATGAGAAAGCGGCAGAATCGGCTCTAGATATCACAGCAATGCGATCAACGGCTGCTGTGCTGAGACGGAAACTCGGACTTACAATCATTGGTTTCGACGTGGTTGTGAGTATGTGCGTACTGATGTAAGGCTCTCTAAAAAGGATTTCTTTTGTCAGGTACATAGCCACACACGCGACCATGTTATAGTGGACGTGAACTACTTTCCAACATTCAAGGACGTTCCTGACACGGAAGCAGTCCCTGCATTCTGGAAAGCTTTGCAAGAATCGAGAAACACAAGAACTATCTAGGCAGCCACGAAGAAAAGAAGTAATAACCTCGGGAAGAGAAGGAGAGCCCTCAGCAAAAGCTTTTGGAGGAACTTCCGCTCAACTGAGGAGCTAGCCTGAAGTGCCACAGCCTCTTGGTTGGAGCTTCCTCCACGAGATTCGCGCGACACAGAAACTCCTCGCAGTACTGCCTCTCCACCGGCCGCTCCACGTCGTGTACGTATATATCCGTCGTTCCATTCTTCCGGCTCCTGGCCATGACCGACGCACTGAAAATCGCTGCCATTCTTCCAGGTGCCTCGGCAAAGTAGCCTCGGGGAGCGTCCACCATGATCACGTCCCAGTCAACCTCGTACAGCTTCTTGGGAAGATAACTCAGCGCGATCTTGCAAGTCGAGTTCCGGATGGCCTGCACTGGCCGGCACTTTCCATTGCGATTCTTCCTGGCGTGGTCCATGAGTCTCCCGGCATCCATCAACTTGGTGTTGTATCTGACGAGGTAGGCCTCCAGATCTGGATTCTTGCCCGTCACCTGCTTGATCCAATCCTCGGTTTCTTCCAGGAACACCGTGCGGCCACCGTGGTTGAGAGTTTTCCACATGACGCTGTCGAACCCCAGTCCAAAGACGAGAAAGTTGCAAGGGCCCCGTGCCGCGAGAACTCTCACGGTCATCATAATCTCGTCGAAAGTTTGCTGGGGGATTACCTTGCTGGAGACGTAGCGAGCGAGAGCGGTGCCTACCTCGAGCGGGAGTCCGCGATAGCTCTCCGGAAAGGCCGTCTCCTTCAAGTTCTGGAAAGTGGACTGGGTCTCGGGAGTGGTGTCCCGGAGAATGCACAGGCTGAGGAAGAAGACGAGCGGCAAGATAATGGATCCCGCAACCGCCCATTGCTTGGAGGAGATGTACTCGACGAAGCCCATCGCGCCAGAGACGAAAGAAGCAAGAACAAGATGGATGGATGGATCGAGAGAAAACTTGCTGCTGCTTATGACAAGGACTTGGTCCGTGATAGAAGCAACGATTCTTGGATCTAAATCTGGATCTGGGATGCAGAGCTTAGACACAAAAGAACCACTTTTCGTGGAGGCACGATTGGATCCATCAAGAAATCCCAGAGAGAGAGCCTGTAGGCTTTCACTCTTTTCTTTTCTCTTCTCCTTGAGACCAAACGTGTCAAAGCATTTTTATGCAACGAAAACGCGATTTCTTCTAAAGCCACAAGTTTATTGTAATTAAATAGATCTTTTCTTCCACAAGAGCTGCAAAACTGAGAGTACACAAGCACTACTTTGCTATTAGAGTGTGCCTTTTCGAGACGCACCTAGAGAGCTAGCAGCGATGGTGTTTGATCAAGCGCTTCTAATCGTCGCCAAAGGTTGTCTTCTTTCCTGCAAGTTCATGAGAGAGGAAGTTAGCTTTGGACTTTGGAGCATAGACAAACAAAGAACTACGTGAAAACAAACTTACCGGACGCTGCGACATTGATTTTCTGCCTTGGAGCGCTGCTTGGCCCGCGACCGCGACCACGATCACCACGGCCACGATCACCACGGCCTGTTAAAAAGGAGAAAAAAGAATAAGGCCTTGTTATCGAGAACTCGACGCCTTCTTACCTCTTCGACCACCGCGGTCAGCATAACCTCCACTACGGTCGCCATAGCGACCACCATAGCTTCCTCCGCCGCCGCCACCATAGCTTCCACCGCCGCCTCCTCCTCCAGAAGGCTCGGTTGCGTCATCAACGACGAGGTTGGAGCCGTCCAGGTCTGAGCCGTGAAGTTCTTTGGCTTTGGCCGGAGCTCCGTCGGTACTGAATTCGATGTAAGCGAAGCTGTAGCCAACAAAAGAGTGAGAAGCATTCTGGAAACAAAGTAAAACTAAGTTACCCTTTGATATTTCCGGTTTCTCTATCAGTGGGAATTTTAACCCGCTCAATGGTACCGCAGCTTTTGAAGTGTTTAGTCAGCGAGTCTCGTATCTGAGAAAACGGAGGTCACGCGAAGGTATATATAAGAGGAGAAATGTACCGAGTCTTCTTCTTGATACTTGTCGAAACCCTTGACAAAGACGGTATTTCCACTCGTCTTGCGGTTGCCATTGAACCTATGAGAAGAATGCAATCTCGTAAGAAGTTTCCCGCAAACGAAAGAAAGAAAAACAGGAAGAAGTCAACACACACCCCGGAGAAGGCCGGTCGCGCTTCGGTCCACTCGCAGGAGTACCCCTCGGATTTGCAAGATCACAGTAAATCCTTCTGCCACCCATATCTTGACCGCTTTTATTGAGTGCCTGGCATAGCGCGACATGAGGAATGGAAGGAACAACAAAAAGGTACCTTTTGAGCAGCGGCTTCCGTTGAAAACTCAACGTGTGCAAACCCTTTCGGACCGTTATCGCCCTGCGCAATTCGCACGCCCACAACTTCACCAGCATCTTCGAAGTATTGTGCACTGCATTTACGGCAACAATGAGCTTGAGATTCCCTCGGAAAGAAAGAACTTACAGATCTTCGTCGGTTACAGAAAACGGAATGTTTCTCACAAACAGAGTTTTAGATTCGCCACCCTCTTTCGCCGGAGTTTTCACCTGCATGAAGCGAAGGTTAGACAATCTACTGGAAGAGACTTAAGCAATCTACCTCGTCAGTTTTTGTCGCTGCAGCTTTTCCATTCTGCAAAAGGTATCAGCACAGTATAGGAGAATAGCAATCATTACTTACTTCAAGCTTTTGCTTTTTCGAGGCTGGTGCTTGTTTGGCAGCTTTCTCCTCCTCTTCCTCTTCTTCTGATGAATCCTCCTCATCGTCTTCCTCATCTTTCGCAGCTGGCTTGGCCTTAGTAGCGACTTTAGCAGCAGGCTTAGCAGGCTCATCGTCATCGTCGCTGTCATCATCGTCACTGCTCTCATCAACGTCCATCGGAGCTGTAGAAGCCTTGGCATTAGTCTTGGCCGCAGGTTTCTTCTCCTCTTCGCTCTCATCACTACTGTCATCACTATCACTCTCCTCCTTCGCAGTAGCCTTTTTGGTAGCAGCAGGCTTCACTTGGGCCTTCTTCGCAGGCGTTTTGGCGGCAGCCTTATCGTCTTCGCTCTCCGAATCACTACTGTCATCGTCGCTGGACTCATCCTTGGCAGCATTCTTCTTGGGAGCAGCGGCGGCGGCGGGCTTCGCCAGTGGCTTCTTCACTGCCGGCTTCTCGTCTTCGTCGTCACTATCGTCTTCACTATCGCTCTCACTTTCCTCGACTTTTTTCTTCGCAGGAGTGGCCCTCGAAGAAGTGGCGGCAGGCTTGGCTTGGGGCTTGGGCTTCTCCTCTTCTTCGTCACTATCATCGTCACTGTCGTCACTGCTCTCCTGTGCCTTCTTCGCCGGAGCCACCACCGAAGCCTTGGCCTGCGGCTTCTTCACCGCAGGCTTTGCTTCCTCTTCCTCATCGCTACTCTCATCGCTGCTATCACTCTTAGCCGCCTTCTTCGCTGGAACCGCAGCTTTTCCCTGGGGCTTCTTCACCACAGGCTTCGCGTCTTCTTCATCGCTGCTGCTATCGCTGCTATCGTCCTCGCTTTCCACCTTCTTAGCCGGCGGCGGTGGCGGCGCCTTCTTCCGCTTGGCGGGGACAGCCTTGGCGGGGGGATTTCTTACCTCCTCATCGCTGCTGGAGTCGGATGAAGAAGAATCCACCATAGCGGCCGACTCTCACGCAAAACCCTAGACCACAGCGACCTAAATCGTCGGCTTAAACCCTAGTGCCGGGAATATGCCGTCAGCGTTAGGACATTCCGTTAGCGCGGAGAGAGAAAAATTTTAAGTAGAGGGAAGAAAGAAGTGTTTTAAGGGTTCCAGAATGTGGGGAATTTCGCGTAGAGCGGTGGAACGAATCGCTCGCCCCGGCCGCGATGCCGCGGCGCTGCTATCGGCTCGAGAGATTCACGCCACAAGGCCGGCGCTCGACGGAGGTATGGCGGTGACTCTCGATTTCCTCTCTCGCGGGTTCTTAGATTCGGAGTTTTTCCTGTTCTTGCAGCGCGCGCGCCCTTGGTTAGCAACGAGGAGGCAGCCAAGATGAGCTGGTATCAAGGTTAGAGTTGTGTCGGTCGATCCATCCCTCTTTCGCGAGCTTGGATTGAACGAGATTTTTCTTGCAGTGCTAGATAAGACGGGGGATACTATGTTCTTGGCCGAGTGTGTTCGTGGCTTGATGCTCACGCTCAAGTATTTCTTCGAGCCCAAAGTTACTGTGAGTAGCCCCTCCCTTTCTTTCCAAGGTTTTTATAGCTCCATGGTTCTCTCAGATAAACTATCCCTTCGAGAAAGGACCACTCAGCCCCAGGTTTCGTGGCGAGCATGCTTTACGACGCTATCCCACGGGAGAAGAGCGATGCATCGCTTGTAAACTCTGCGAAGCGGTAAGAAACTGGAAAAAAAAAGTTGCGTTTTTCATTGATTGATATAGCTGTTCTTCACAGGTCTGTCCGGCACAAGCCATAACTATAGAAGCCGAAGAAAGAGAGGATGGTAGTCGTCGAACTACGAGGTATACTAAGTTTGTTTTTTCTTTTGGCTGGTTTGATAGTAACTTAGCACCCTTTGTCGCAGGTATGATATCGATATGACAAAGTGCATCTACTGCGGATTCTGCCAAGAGGCTTGCCCAGTCGATGCTATCGTTGAGGGACCAAATTTTGAGTTTGCAACCGAGACTCACGAGGTTAGGAGCTGCAGTTTCTCGCAAATATTTCTCTGACGCTCAATGAACTTCCAGGAGCTCTTGTATGACAAAGAAAAGCTGCTAGAGAATGGAGATAGATGGGAGACCGAGATCGCAGAAAACTTACGCGCAGATAGCTTGTACAGATGAGCACAAAGAACGGGAAGAACGGGAATAAAAAGCAACGAAGTGTTCAAGTACCTCGCACACCACTGGTGCGTTTTTTCCAAGCTTTCCCAGATCGAGCTCGAGAGAAAAATTCCATAAAAAAAGCTCTTGTTGGAGAATGACGAAAACACTGGTTTGATCATCGGCCATTGACAAGCTTCTTGAGAACGTTCCTCTTTCTTCGATCCTTTTCCGCGAGAGCTCTCTCGGAGAGGACGTGCTTGAGTCTATGCATTGACAGCTTCACCTGGAAAAATCGAGAGGAAAACTATCGGTCCTGAAAGGAAAACCAGGGAGAGCGCCACATTCTACCTTGTCAATCCGGTCCCTGGCAGCGATTTTAATGTTTTGCGACTTGAGCATGAGAACTTGGGACAAGAGCATGTTCTTCTCGATGTAGAGAACATACCACAGCTTGTGGAGATCGTCCCACGATTTAATCCGCAACTCCTCGGTGCGCCAGCTCCTTCCTGGAGATTTGGCAGCAAAGAATCAGCAGAAGTTCGAAAAACCCTGGCTAAACCCACCACAGTAGTCCCCCTTCTTTGGATCGGGGCCTCGCCCCGCTTCAAAGAACGCATCCACGCCGCCAGATTCGCTGTGATTCAAGGTAAATTTCGATCGGCGAGACGCATTCCCCCATAGCTGCCCCGTCGTCGTCCTCGCAACGCGGACGAGCAGCGCTTGCATTCTCTCTTTTCTCTTAAGCCCTAAAAGAATATTCTACAAATACTTTAATTAGCCACAACGGGGAGTTTAAATTCCGGCCAGATACTTCATCTAGAAACATTCTTCGCTTGTCACACTGGGACGCCAGAGCGTTTCATCCCCGCCTCCGTCCATGAGAGAGATCCCCAGCGACGAGAGCTTGTCTCTGATTTCGTCTGATTTTCCAAAATCCTTGGAGGCTCTGGCGGCTGCTCGCTCGTGAATTTGGAGTAGAAGCTCGTCCTCTGTCAATCCAGCTCGTTTCAAGGCCTTGCTTCGAAGCTCTTCTAGAACCTGAGACAAAAAGAGTTGCGTTATTCTAAGATCTAGCAGACCAAGTAGGAAGGAACAATGCCTGTGAGTAGTCCGCCACGGAAAATCCCAAAACTTCCAGCGCTTGTTCCACTTCCAGACGAAGAAGATCTAGAGACGAGTAACGACTCTTATCTTTGCGACCCTGAGAAACATAACAAGTAAGAAAACCAAAAAGTTAGATATAGAGATTGGCTTACTTTTTTAGAATGTAGAAGCTCGTTCATCAGCTTCAATGGCTCCGAGAGCGCTCCTATTGTCACAGGCGTGTTTAAGTCGTCTGCTAGAGACGATCTCAGGGACAGTCTCAAAGCCTTCGCGATCTCGGCAGCTTTCTGTGAAACCACGTAGCTTTTCTCTTCCTTTTGCGAACCCTCGACGCATCTCTTTGCATCAAACAAAGTCTGCAAAATAAGCGAAGAAGAATGAAAGGCAAAGTGAGTCATTGGTACTGTAAAGAACCATGAAATAACAAGCACCTGGTATAAATAGAAGAGACGTTGCGAAGCGTTCTGTAGCTGGGATTCCGAATAATTGATCGGAGATCGATAGTGTGTGCAAAGTAGAAACCATCTTAGAGCCAGAGGATGGTAGAGCTCGAAAACCTTGCAAAGCCAGGCCGAGTTAATCAAATCTGCATTCCACGATCAAAACAAAGAAGAAGAGAAAACAAAAAACACTTTTTTACCTCGCGGATCGTGAAGAAATTACCAAGAGACTTTGACATCTTCTCCGAGTCCACTGTGACAAAGCCATTGTGCATCCAGTACGTGACATTGCTCTCGTGACACGCTGCCCGGCTCTGGACAATCTCATTCTCGTGGTGTGGAAATATTAGATCCATTCCTCCGCCATGAATGTCGAAAGAGCTTCCCAGTGTAGCACCGCTCATGGCACTACACTCGATATGCCACCCCGGCCTCCCAGCTCCCCATGGACTCTCCCAAGAAGGCTCGCCATCTTTAGAGCTCTAAAAGAGAAGGCATTGTGAGAAAAAAAAGAGAAAAGAGAAAAAAAATACTCGAGTTTTTTAGAAACTTGCCTTCCAGAGCACGAAGTCTCCTGGATTCAGCTTTCTGTCGTCGACAGCAACCCGCTCGCCAGCACGATTATCATCGAGTTTTCTGCCAGACAAGCGACCATAGGAATCCGGGAACGCTGGCACGAACTTGTCTAGAGAGAAATAGACGTCGCCATTGTCAAGAACGTATCCATATCCATTCTCCAGGATCTACAAACACACGAATTCGCGTGTCAAAGATAGCTCGGAAAGATTTTCATCCTTAACCTGCGAGATCATTTTAATGATCTGGTCGATGTTTCTGGAGACTCGAGGCTCCAGTGACGGTGCTAGACATCGTAGCGAAGCCATGTCCCGGTGGAACTCGTCGCAAAAGCGATTGCTTAACTCGATGGGATCATCTCCAAGATCGTTGGCTCGTTTTATAATCTTCAAAAACAGAACAAAAAAAAAAACTATCTGTTGAAGAAATGTAGGAAAAAGAAAACTTACAAACCTTGTCATCGATATCTGTGAAGTTCCGCACGTACGTTACCTCGTATCCCATGAATGGAAAGTATCTGGCACCAAAAATACGAAAAAAAAAAAAGTGCAGCCGTGAGGAAAATCACAAAAAGACGACCAAAGTACCTGTAAAGAACATCGAAGAAAACGTAGACCCTGGCGTGACCAATGTGGCTATAGTCGTAAGCAGTGACTCCACACACATACATGCTAAGCTTCCCAGGAATTCTCGGCCGAAACACTTCCTTCTCCCTGCTCATTGTGTTGAAAAGAAGAATCTCTACACTCTCCTCTTTGTTTACTCTCGCATTTGGTGCTTGAGAGACGAGGCTTGGAGTGAAAGAAGAAGCTCTAGGTCGAGCGCAAGCGTGGCGATGGGAAGAGCTAAAATCTCCACCCCCGGCCTCGCGAAACCTCTGATTGCTTCTACTCGGCCTAGCGCCTACCTTGACGAGAGAAATGCTGTGACTTGGAGCTCCGGCTAGAATGGCGCTCCCCATCCCTGTAGGGCTTCTATTCTAGAAGATAACCACATTCCAATCTATCACCTTACAAACATTTTGGAGCACAATTGGTTAGAACAATGGATCATATTAACAAATCTTTTTGTTCTTTATCTACAAAACTTTCTCGAGTGGTGCTGCCAAGAAAAAGATGGCCCATTGCTGTGTGCCATTCCAAAAGGTTTGCAGCAAAATTATCTCCAGGAGATTGTCAATCTTTTATGGTGCTGGCATTGTTGGGCCGCGAGGAGCCAGGAACTTTGCCTCGGACGTTATACTGCTCGTAAACTCGGTGTCGATTCTCTTGCCACCAGATCTCTGCTTGCTTCTCACTGAATCTCTTGCGGCTGCAAAACGAAAGATCGAGCGAAGAAAATTCGATCAAAAACCAAAAGAGAAAAGCTTACCTGAATCTAACACGCTTCAAGTCTTTGCCACCGCCGGGTAACGCCGTAAGAGTTATGTACACTCCGGGTTGGTCTTGTTCCACCCATTCCTCCACACCACTTTCACTGGTAGCCGAGTTGGAAGCTCGGCCATCCGCCTGGTCGTGAAGTCTGGAAGTATCAACATCGGACAGCCTCGCAGGGACGTCGCAGACAACGTTCCCATGGCTTCTAGTACCATCTTCCGGCAGTGGTGCGCTTGGAGGCTCTGGCCTCGTTCGATAGCTTCCCGGGGGCATCCTCTCCGCCAGGTCTTTGAGCTGGGACCAAAGACAGTAAAGGAGAATTAAAAACAATAGCTGCGAGGACCTTGGTTTTGCTTACTTGTGCTGTCAGTGACATGATCACCTCCTTCGCAGCCTTACACTTCGCGGACTCGGCACCGGCGACCGCAAAGGCATCTTGAATCTGCTTGGAGCTGTGGAGTAGCTCCTTCTCGTGCGACTCGCAACGTCTTGTCAGTTTCTCCACCTGGAAAGACACGATGAGTTAATGTCTACACAAAACCAACCAAAAGCTTTTCTTCTTCACCTGAGCTTTAAGTCTCGATATCTCCAGAATGAGGCTCTCGTTTTTTAGCTTCACCCCCTCCACCTCGTGCTTTGGAGAAGTCAAGCCGCCCACCGTTGGTATCGGAGTCGCGGACCTTGGTGGACTGGGCCTTCTCGATAGAGGTGAAACAGCTCTGGAGCCGACTCTCGACTGTGGAATTGACTTCGCTGCGTCCAAGAAGGCGTTGAAGGCAGCCGGGGCATTCACACCACCCCACTGCAGAAGACCATTCGGCATCGGTGACACCCGACTAGTGGAATCCGGTCGTTTACTTCTCTTGGTCGTCTTGACATCCGTCTGCTTGAACAGGTCCCCCTTGGTCTGCACTTTCAGGAACCTTGTCTCGCTGTTTTCCTTCGGGGCAGTCACGGACACACTGCTCCTGCTCATTTTCAAGAAGCAAGTGTCGCACACTCGATGTAGCTTCCGTGGATTCGGGGCCTGCGACGCGTATAGTGCCTTCTTCGAGCTGCATGAGTGACAGTAAGGCAGTCCACAGTTGTAGCAATTGTGCTTCTTCCTCGTGAAGCCGAAAGGCTGCCTGCATCCGGAACACATGGAATTCCCTGTCCCTACCCCTGGCCCAGACTTGTGGAGACAGATTGCCGACGTAAAGCTCGATCCACACGAAACTTTCTTCACCTGCTTGTCCCTGAGAGCTTCCACCAGCGTCGGCACATCCCGGTCCTCCGCATCACCATGTCCAAGCCTGCCATTTGCTCCTTTTCCCCACGTACAAACGTCACCTTTTGATGTCAGCGCAGCAACGTGGTAGGCTCCGCAAGAAACCTCCTCAATCAGTGTTCTGCCCAACCTCAGAACGCCAGGAAGCCTTCCCGTAGCCTGAGGATCTCCCAGCTGACCGTAGGACACACTTCCCATGGTGTAAAGGTGTCCTGTTGTCGTTAGAGCCACCGTAAGGCTGTGGCCACACGCCACTTGACGAAAGTTGTGATCAACGAGAGCAGCGACGCACGTCGGAACTAACTTTTGCTCCTTATCACCATGCCCGAGCCTGTTCTTGTCTCCATCCCCCCACGTAAAAAGCTTCCCGGACAACGAGCTACCGGCGTTGGAGTATCTACTCATCACCTCCACCACCGCCGCAGTATGCCAAGGGCCACAGGCAGCTCTGAGAGTCTTGAGCCCCTTGAGCGACTCCACTTCTCTGGGCATCGACGCACTCTTCCTGTCACCATGCCCGAGCACCCCAAACGTTCCATCGCCAAAGCTGAAAAGCTGACCGGTGGAAGTCACTAGGACTGTATGCCAAGGTCCACAGGCAACCGACGACACACGTACTCCTTCCAAGGGACCACCCACTCGCTTCGGAGTCCAGTGGCTGATGCTGTTACCGTGTCCTAGAAGTCCAAAGTTATGAGTTCCATCGCCCCAAGTGTAGAGATCCCCGGACTGTGTCACCGCACAAGAGTGGTACTCGCCGCAAGCAACGTACTGGACGGTGGAGCTAGCGAGTGAGTCGATCAGCTGGGGGTGAGCTACGTCGGCATCCACACCATGTCCCAGCCTCCCACCACTCTCTTCACCCCACGAGAAAACTTCTCCTTGCCTGGTCACCAATGCGGTATGACGAACACCGCAAGCGATCTGCTGGACGTCGAGCACCACCAGTGATCTCACCGCTCGCGGAAGAAACGCATCTGTTCTAAACGAAGTGTCGAGCTTCTTCGTGACACCACCATCCCCAATTCCTTCCCCCCACATCCACAGCTCTCCGAAAACATCCCCCTCCTCCTGCCCAGATCCCTGGCTCGACGAGCTGACAGCGCTAGACATGCTCGTCGCCGTCCACACGGAAGCATCGATGAGCGCACCACCCCTGCTCCTCAAGCCCTCCGCGTTTGCGGCCGAGTGAGCGGCAGATCGTCCCTTGAAAGAATCAACCGTGTATAGCGCTCCCGATGGGAAGGTCTTCCCCACGCCATTCCTTGGAGGACTTCCATAGCAATCCGTCCTCCTGTCGACCATGTTCCTGCGAATTCGGCATTCTCATGAGCCCGAAAAAGAAGAAAGAAACCCACACCTCTCTAGAAATCGCTGCCGCTGCTACAAGAATCCTTGCAACGCCGCATTCCCTGCAATCCATGAGCTGCTCGCGCGTATCTCATGCGAGGACTTCGTCTTGCCGGACGCCGCCTAGGGTTCTCGACAAGAAAAGAACCATGCGCGATCCAAATTCCAGCCTCCACACCTGCATTCTCGCGTCCCAGAGCTGCGATCCGCGGAACCATGCCTCGATCCGGCGGGAATGGCACCGGTTCTTGGCGCCGCGCTCAAAATTTCCGGCCCTGACACATTGAATCGGGAGAAAAAGGAGCTGGAAACCTGGAATCTCCTGGCGAATCGATCGATCGCCAATGGAAGAGCACCGCTCTCTTTCTCGCTCTATTAGGGTAAAGCTGCCTCTCGGCCCTGTCTTGTCGAGAAAAAATAAATCAAACTAAAGGCACGAACGCGAGAAGGCAGTATAGTCAGAGTTCGACGTGCGTGACGGGTACTTAGCCCGTCATTCGTCCTTCACAGTAATTTAGGGTTCTTGGGCGATTTATTTAGGGTTTGCGCAAATGGAGCACACGATCGAGGCATTCAAGCGCGAGGAATCGCTGGGCGCTCGCCATTCCGGGGCTGCGGCAGCTAGCGACGGCAAGATCCACATCGAGCGCACACAGTAAGCTCCGGGGGCGCTGGTTTCGTGAATTTTCACTCCATTTTCTTCGATCAGGTATCCCTATGTCACTGGATCATCCGTGTTGGGGATTAAGTACAAGGATGGGATCCTCCTCGCAGCGGACATGGCCGGTATGTGTGTGAAATCTCTTGCGAAGAAATGTTTTTGAGGAGATTCCATTTGCTTAAGCTTCCTACGGATCTACAAAGAGGTACAAAAGCTTCCAGAGGCTAAAGCCCGTCGGCAAGCACGCTGTGATTGGAGCTAGCGGGGAGATGAGTGACTTCCAGCAGATTTCTACCATGCTGGATGAATTAACGTGAGCATTTTCACTTCTTCTTCTTCCTTTTTCTGATGATGGTTTCTCGCAGCTTGCGCGATCAGATGTGGGACGACTCGAACACTCTCGGGCCTCACGAAATTCACAGCTACTTGAACCGGATCATGTACCAGCGCCGGAACAAGTTTGATCCCTTGTGGAACAACATCATTCTCGGTGGTGTGAAGAATGGGAAGAAGTACCTTGGAGTGGTAAGTTTCTCGATGATTTTACACTACATGAGCTAGAGAAAACTCAATCGAGGTTCACAGGTTAGCATGATAGGCGTTCACTTCGAGGATGATCACGTCGCGACTGGATTCGGCCAACACCTTGCGCGTCCAGAGCTGCGAAAGCAGTGGCGGGCCGACATGACTTTGGAAGAGGGTGTTCGTCTCTTGGAGAAATGCCTCCTTGTTCTCTACTATCGCGATCGGTCGTCGATTAACAAATACCAGGTAAGAAACTTTGTCATCTTTCTTTTGTCTCACGGATGATTTTTGTTTTGCCAGATTGCGAAGGTGACAGAGGAAGGTGTGACAATCTCGTCTCCGTTCGCTATCGAAACAAACTGGGAACTCGAAGCCTTCCAGAATCCCACGAAAAACGCAGAAGGTTCTTGGTAGTTTGATGACAATGTTTTTACAAAAAAGCTCTCTTTTTTATCTTTACAACAAGCACGAGTAATTGGCCGTTTTGAACGAGTGCTCTCCAATGTAGAATTCCTCCTTGTTCGCTTCGGCAGTGGCGGGCCGGATAGAAATCCCCGACAGCGTCTGGCCTTTGCAAGAGAAATCAACTCTCACTTTCATGCTCAGCTTCTTAAGTGATTCTTCGTCTTCTAATGACTGATCAGATGCTGCTAGTGGAAATTGCGCTCGCAATCGTCCAGGCGGAGTTCGCAGCTGGAAGAAAAGACCAGAATGTGTTTAGAGTCCAAAACGTATACCGAGAAAAACTTACTCCAATCTCTCCAACCTGCCATCTTAATTCTTTCGTACTGCGATCCAGAGCCGCTCTAGAAGATTAAAGAGTTAGTGAAGAAACGTTAAAAGAAACAATGATCTTACCTGGGAGAAACTTTAAGAGACTCTGGCGAACATGGTAGGCAGAGAACAAACGTCACGTCCTTCAGTTCTCTTGGCAAGTACGGGTTGACAACATACTGGCCAAAAAAAATCAAAGAGAAACAGTGAGAGATCGAATCAAATCACCAAATATCACACGTACCTGTATCATCACGGAAAGTAGGAACCCGACCTTCTTAGCCACAAGCCTAGCGAAAGAAAGAAGGAAAAGAACCAAGTGTTAAAGACACTGGAGCACGGAAAGCAGACATACCTCATCCGTAGAGGCAGCGGTGTAAAGCGGGGATGCAAACGATATTTTAAAACGGCCAAAGGACTCTCCGCTGGTGGAGTTCGAACATGAAAGTATCCTTGTCCTAGGCTGCTAGTGATTGACGACTTTAAAACACCGTTCTGGAGGTCAAGCAAACAATAGGGAGTTAGAACTGAAAATCATTGAAGCGCTGGCTGGATCATACCTTGATTCCGGCAGCTCCTTCCAGAGAGAAGGAAAACTCCGTGTCAGTCTCGCCAGCGGCAGCCGGATCTGGTGTTTTTAAATGCAAAACTCCCTGTAGGCCGGTTCTGCTCAGCACCAGGCCTTTAAACTCGGCATAAATTTCTTCCGTGAACCAAAGGAGCGGGGTTCTTGTCTCGGCTGGCTTGTCATCCTTTCTCTGTGTACCTGCAAAGGAAGTTAAATAACATACTTTGAGAAAGTGTGTATAAAAAACGTATTTCTGGGCTTACCTTCGTGAGCACCAGTGACGACAAGCTCGCTGGCGAGATCACCCTTGGCCTCAGATTTTTCGGTGGCTGGTTTCGTGCCAGCTTTTCTTCCGCCACCACCTTCTAATTCCTCTAGCCCGGCTAGGCCTGAAGCCGCAGCTTTGTCTTCCGCTGTCGCATAATCAGAGGCGTCCAATCCTCCACCAAAAGCATCCGTCAGGCCTTCAAATGCGTCTCCAAATCCGCCACCGTAGTCGTCATTAAAGTCGAGGCCTCCATAATCGCCTTCGAAGCCTTCCACTCCTACAAATGTCGACTCCGCTGCACCAGGTGCTACGGTGGGAACGCTGAGCTCCGAAAGCCCCGCGGTTATGTCTTTGGTGTCCTTTGCCTTTTTGAAACCGCCAGCGAGAGATTCTGGCTTGGTGAGAGCGTCGCTTGCAGCAAAAGGATCCTCGTTCTCGGCTGGCTTCTCCTCTGGCGGCGGCGGCAGTGCAGGTGTGGCAGCTGGTGCCGGAGGAGCTAGCGTAGCTTTGAACTCGTCACCGGCAGCGATGGTCTCTTCTGGTATCTCAAAAGTTGCATTGGACAAAACCTGGGATTCAAACGTTGGCCATTTTGAAAAACACAAGGAAGAATCGTACCTCCACATTTGCTAGACGTTCTGACGGGTGGTGCTTTATTTGATTCCAGCTATCAGCGCCTCGAGCACGGTTCTCAGCTTCGGCAGCAGAAAAAAAGATTTGTCCAACGTTGTCGCCGTGAATGGAAGACAAAATGAACGAAAGTCGCGCGGCACTGACTCCATGGAGAACCGCATCAAGGGTCATATAAATCTATTCCATGAAAGTGACCTTAAGAAAACTAAATTAAAACGAATGGAAAGACGCTTACCTCGGTGTACTTTCTGATGACTCTTTCGGTGTTAACATCGATACCTTTGCAAGCTGCAACCAAAACACTAGTATGCTCCTGGTCTCAAAAGATCAGATGGAGGTAGCAGCACGAAAAGGACTTACCTCACAGTCTGGTTTACAACATTTGCACATTCGAAGATATTATTTGCAGAGTCATCCTGGTGAGCGCTTGTGATACCAAGCACGTAGACTGTGTTTACCAAGCGATAAACAACACGGTATCTAACCAAAAAACACAGACAGAGAAGAAGATCAAGATCATGGAAACATCTAAGTTGAGATCAACAGAAAACAAGGAATAGGCAATGCGTCATCTAAAAGTCCAGAAAGTGAAGAACTTAAACACGTATCTATACAAAACACACAGAAAGAAAAAGTCATAAATTGACATCAAAAGAAAACAAGGAATAGGCAATGCATCATCTAAAAGTCCAGAAAGCATTCGAGAAAATAAATCGAGAGATCACAAAAAACGTCAAGGAAATAAGTCGAGAGATCACAAAAACATTCAAGGAAAGATCACGAAAGTCGAACCACAACCAATTCAAAGTGAAGAACTCACTTGTTTTCCTTTCCAACAACAACTTGACCGCTTGCAGCAGCTAGAGCATCGTCCCCTAGCCTGACAAGAGAAAGAAAACGAAGAGTATAAGAAAATGTAGCATCTCTAGTCTAGATCTAGAACTCACCCGGTCCCAACAACATCCACAGAGATTTGTTTGCCCGCCGCGAAGGCGATTCGAGTGCTGCGAAAACTTGATGAAACATCCGCGGCTCTGGCAGGAGGGAACCATTCGCGGCTGCAATACCAAGAGATTATCAATCCCACCCATCGATCGCGCGCCGGATCTAATCTATCCGATGGAAGATCACTTACGTCTGGAGGAGAACATCGGGTCCTTTGACGGGCTGGAGCGCCAGTGCCAGGCACGCCATAGACGGAGAAAAAGAACAAGCGTTAAAGCCCTAAGAATATTCGCGGGGTACATTAGGGTTCTCGGGAGGCGAGGTTATTTCCTTTCCCAATGGTGGAGGTCGAGAAGGCGCCGATGGCGATGCCGGTGGATGCGAGCGAGCGTGAGGAGGGGGAAATCGTGGCGTCCCCCAAATCCATCGTCAAGGAGAAGCATCCGCTGGAGCACTCGTGGACGTTTTGGTTCGATAACCCTAGCGGTAAGAACAAGCAGCAGCAGTGGGGAAGCTCATTGCGGCCGGTCTACACCGTGAGCACTGTCGAGGATTTCTGGTGGTAAGCCCCTCGATCCATGCCCCTTGCTTTCGATTCTGGGATCTAAGATACAAATGCGCCTCTATTTCTTTGCAGTCTCTACAATAATCTCGTGCAGCCGGGTCGATTGATCAGTGGGGCGGACTTTCACTGCTTCAAGGAGGGAATCAAGCCCGAGTGGGAAGATCCGAGGTGTGCGAATGGGGGGAAATGGACTGCTGCTCCACCGCGAGGTAGCAAGCAAGCGCTGGATCAGTTCTGGCTAAACACTGTGGGTATAAGAGAGATTTCTCTCGTTTTTCATCGTGGCTTTTCTGCTTACATTCTTGTTCTTCCAGCTGCTCGCTTTGATCGGTGAGCAATTCGATGAGGCTGATGAGATCTGTGGCGTGGTGGTGAGCGTGAGGCCGAGAGGAGATAAGCTCTCCTTATGGACCAAGACGGCTAACAACGAAGCCGCTCAGGTAAAGAGATCTTCTCTTTCCTTCCTTCTCTTCGTTTTGGTTGAGTTCTCTAGCATGTTTCTTCTTGTTCTAGCTTTGCTTTTTTCCTTTAGCAAGCTTTGAATGGTTCTTTCATAAGATTTGTTTTCTATTAGTTTTTGCCTTGTCCTTGCTCGAGCTCTGAAAAGTTTCCTTGTTTTGGGCGATTCCAGATGAGCATTGGAAGGCAATGGAAGGAATTTCTCGAGTACCAGGACAGGATCAACTTCATGTTTCACGTAAGAATCTCTTTATTCTCATTCTGCCAAATCGCTTTAACTTTTGGTCCTACTTTTTCCAGGAGGATGCAAAGCGTGGTGATTCGAAGGCGAGAAATCGCTACTCTGTATGATAACCTTCTAAGCTCAATTTTGCTGGATCGCATTTTAAAAGGATGGATGTTTCAATGGCTTTTTGTAACCGTGTTACAAAATAAAGCTATAAGGGGAAAAGGAAGATTCTCTCGTTCTAGTGGTTTAGGGTTTATATTTATTCTCTCAATGGCGTCGAGCCAGGGATGGCGCCTGTCTCTGGCGGCCAAGCGCGCGAAGAAGAGGACGCGGTGCTTGGATCAAGATTGCTGCCGCCACAGTAATCTCCGCTGCGAGCACTGGCGCGAGCTCAAGAGCTACGCCGTGGAGCTCTGTTCTTGCGATTCCTCCCAGGTAATACTTCTTTCTTCCCTTGCGGCACTCGCAGCGCTCCTGGATTTCCAGTCCCTGCTGCCAGCTTCCTCACTGATATGAAATGCTGGCAGTCCCTCTGTGTCGCAGGGCGATCGCGTCCAGACCCTCAAATCTCTCGCGGCGCTGCTCCTCTGCCTCGCCGCCGCGGACGATCCGGCCAATGCAGATGGAGATTACGCGCTATCGGTGGCCGTGGGCGAGGCAATGGTGACCATCGCTCACGACGACGTGGTCCGGCTCTACAAAGTCTTGTTCCAGGAGCTTGCGAAGATTAGCAGCTATTTGCTCACGAACTTCTGGTATGTCCCGGAGATGGTATCTTGTTCCAGTGAGGCGGCGCTCCACTTCGAGGCGCTTGCTCAAACGCTGTGCTGCTGCATCCGGATCATTCCCATCGTGGATATGTTCAACACCAGCATGAGCCACACTGCCGCATCGACTGTCCACGATATGCTCCACCATCTTTGCTCGCCGTCGAAGTTCTTCCCTCTTGGCTCGCCTTACACCGTGAAAGAACATCAAGACGTCGTCTTGAGGAGCGCCCTGCTAGAAGTATGCAAAAGATCTCTCCTTTTTCCCTCTATTGACCTCTACATCTTTGTTTTGTAGGTGTTCTTGGATGAGATCTTACTCCACCGGGCTCTGACATTCCCAGAAGGCGAAGAGTTCTCTTACCGTGCGTCGATCGAAGCTGCATTCGCGCATATGTTACACTTTCAGTTTCTGCAAGACCGACCGTTCCAACAGTCCAAGCTTAGTCTTCCTGCGGGTGTTCTTCTGCTCGACATGTCCACTAACAACCAAGTTCCTAGCAACTTACTGACGCACATCATATCGCTCGTGACCGGAGCATTGGTCCCAGGTGACTTGGGTACGAGTTGCGACGCTGGGAGCTTCGCTGCGATCCAGGCCCAGAATTATATTCCACACTTTCAGCTGGACGACGAGTTGCCGCATGGAGTAGCTATTGGATTGGCATCTTCGGTGGTAGAAACAGCAATGGGGTTACTGTCAAAGTATTACTCAGCGTTTGCAGCACGGGACAGAGATGGTTTCGAGAGGGGGACACAAGCACTAAGTTATGTTGGGGGATATAACAGTGACCAAGGCGAGTATTCCTCTACGTTGGCTGCTCTACTCCGAGCGATGGCTTGTGCAATAAATCGGCTTGTTAGAGAGGTCTGTACTATCAAGTGCCAGGACAGGGATGGGGAGTTGATTGGTGTTCGGGACCTTGCCATTCAAAGAACTTTCGAGACGGTTGCTACTGCCATCAGGTTTAATATGCCTTCCACAAAGTTTATGCACGCTATTGGCTGTTTCAATCTGAACATGGTCGAGGCTTTGACATCAGAAAACGCAAGAGGAACCATAGGATGGACGCTTGTTATATTTGCTCACATATTTTCCTACGAGTCACTGAGGGGACTGGATGAAGCTGTGGCCGTCGAATACGTTCGCGTTTTGGACTCTCTCCTGGCCTTGTTACTACTCGAGAGTAGACCCGATAACGGCGTCATGGACGATGAGGTGCCCGCTTCTACAAACTTTTTCCTGCGTGAGATGATTAAGTCGCTTCATCAAACAGCCTGGGACATGTGTTCCCGTAAGGTAACTTGTGTGATTCCAACGGCTCACATCTCTTAGCTTTTCGTTTCTGTTGGCATGCAGAAGTCCGCGACGAAGCTCTTGTCGTTTATATCAAAAGTCACTCCAATTGGTAGGAAGGATTTGCCAACAATTGAAGATGTCGACTGGCTGTCGCCTGGCATCAGCTTCGACAACGGGAAGGATTTGCCAACTATTGAAACTGTGACACCTGACATGAGCGTACATGAAACAATCCAAGAGGTCGTTCAAGAGGTCGTCCAAGAGGTTGTGCAAGAGGTCATCGTGGAGGAAGCATCAGATTCGACGACTCCTTTGAAACCCAGGCCATCGACATTGATCATAGCCAAGCGGTTCAAGCTAAAGAAGCTCCGCGTGGAACAACTTACTGATACACCTGTGGAGAGTACAAGCGCACCAGACACACCTGTGGAGAGGTAAGTCTTTCTGTTTGTCCGTCTTTTGAGCTTATGGCTGTTTTCATCATCTTCAGCAAAACGAAGAAAAGGAGAAGACGTGGCGCAGGAATGAAGAACTGGAGTGCAGAAGCGTGCATTAGTAAGAGAACGCGTAGCGCCACCAAGAGCAAGAGCAAGAGCCCCGCGGCAACAGTCAGCAGCAGCAACAAGAACCGCCACGTTGAGAATCCTTTCGTCGCAGAGATGCTGACCAGGGAGACGTACGAAGAGTCTTTCGCCGATTTGAACGATTTCATCGTCTGCAAGAAGGGCCGCAACTACACGAGGTTCCTCAACGCCCGGATCAAATACAGGCGCAAAAGCCACACTCGAATGATTTGGAAGCGGCGGGACGAAAGGCAAAGCCTGATGAAGCTGCTCGACCTGTGCGGCGAAAGGCCGTGAGCATCAAACAGGTTCTTTTCTTTTCTTTTCCTCTCAACTCAAAACAAGTCTTTCTCAATCTTTCTTTTCAGCTCCAGATGTACACTCTTCTCCCAAAACTAGCTGGTACCTGTGAACTGCTTAACTCTATCGACAACGCCGCGAACAGCACTCCTGGTCGCGTCCATCCAACTTCCTCCGCCTCCACTGGTGTTCTTTCCTCTCCCGGGAGTGGCCGCATCCTTGTCAACCTCGGTGTCCTCCATGACAAAGGTATCGGCCCGCATCTCCTCGCCTATAGGATCACTAGCGGCTGCCTCTGACGTCTTGGGCGCCCCTGTTACAGCATTGGCACCGTCTCGATCGCTCGCAAAGTTCCTGAAGCTCCACCTCCTGGAAGCTCGCAAGGAAGTAAAACTAGTCTTTCCCATCATCGCCAAGTGTGACCCTGCCTCCCTAGTGAAGATCACGCGAACAAGAGGTAATAAACTTGACCAATCCTCGTTTTCTTGTCTCAAGGTTTCCATGCAGTGCCACTTGGAGAGCTATGTGGCAGCACCAGGTAGAGCGAGAGAGGTATTTCTTTAAATGCAGCAAGGTTGGCCGTCGTGGAACTCGTAAGATGGTATGACACAGCTCGTCGCAAGATTGCTCCAGTGAGCTTCGTAAGAATCGAAGTTGAGGCCTGTAGGACGGATTAGATTGGATGGAGGTTTTTGGTTGTAACTTTTGAGTGATTCGATTGACGGATATCTCTCACTCACCCAGGCTCCACAGGAATAACTCGATGGCTCGATTGTCATCCTCGGCGCTACCGCTGTTACCGCTCGTGGCTGTGCCAGCGATCTCGGCTAGACGACCTTCTTTATACCTGTGAGAGATTTCTCTTCCGGTTTAGATCGTAGGAACAAACTTAACTTACAGTTTGTTTAGCCAAGCTCGTTTTTTCTTGCGTGATTCTTGGGCTTTGTGTTCTCGTCTTGCGGCCACGGATGGATAGAAGATCTTCCTGTGGCAATCAAGCAACGAGATTTGTACGGAACGAGAACTTGTTTGAGAACTTTACAATGGCTCTTTCTTGTCATGGATAAGCTCGTCGGCGTTGTGCATCCACGCAGTGTCGCAAACCAGCCTCCATCCATTGTTCTCGCAACGCACGTATTCCTCTGTAATGCATAACTTGAGAGAAAAAATAAAGGTCTGGATATATATTTTATTTCTACCTGTGGTTTGCTTCACGGGCTGTTGAAAACACCGTCGAGGATCGCGACCGCGCGTGAGAGGCCGGCGTAGCGACACGGAGTATTTTCGGGGGCTAAACGATCCCATGTCCACAACGGGCCTGTGTGTGTAAAGTTTGTAGAGAAGCTGGAGAACAAGAAAAAAAGGAGAAAGATTTAGAGAACTTGGTGGATCGATCGAGAGCCGATTGATAGAGAGAAAAAGCGAAAACAAGAATTCTTTAGTTTCTCACCAAAGCTCACCAAAGGAGGAAATGTGATTCCACCGAGCCTGAAACGAATGTGTAGGCCGGTTGCCGAGTCTGCTAGCGCTGCCTGGTTTTGTAGGAAAGTGAAAACGCTAGAAATTTCAGAAACCAAAAGCAAGAACTTTTCTTTTTCTCCTTACTTCTGATGGATTGATTCTCCGAAGAAGCAAGCTTGGATGGAGCTTTTCATTGTTAGTGATGAGATCTTTGTAGTATCTAAAAATCTTCTTGTTCTGTAAGGAGAGAAACAAGACTTCAAAAAGAAAAACTAATAGAAGAAAAACTCACCGCGTAAGAATGCCAGCAGCGTTGGATCGTCCATGCAGCAGCGTGCAGTGAATTTCTAGATCGGCCCCGTTTTCTTCGTATTCTCCTGGCATTTTGGTGCTTCCTCCAGGCCGCTTGCAGCAAACGCGCAGCTTCTTTCTGCCAAAACAAAACAAAAAAAAAAAAAGAGAGAAAAAGCTGAAATACCAAAAGGGAAACGAAGGAAATCTCAAGAGAGCGGAGAAAGGAGAAACCATGGCAGCGAATTCTCTAGCGCAGGCCCTAGATTTCCACCATCCCTGGATCTTGGTCACATTCCACGCCAGGAAGAGATCGCTCTCCTTCGTGGAGCACAGGAAATCCACCGGCGTGACGCTCACATCCGGCGTTTCTCTGAAATACCTCCGCTGCTCGCCGCCATCCCCTCGCGCCGGGATCCCCATGATATGTGTGAGAACCCTAGTAACGTTCAAATGTAATGTTTCAAATGTAAATTTAAGAAACAAATCAAGATCTTGCTTGAATGAGAATATACTTTTTGATAAGCGTATTTCTTTTATGCTTATCATCCCCGCTACAACCATCGCATATAATAATAATACCTAATTATTACTATTAGGGTTTAGCTTCCACCTGAATGCAAAGATAGACGCAATTTCCCTCTGAAAGTGTCAACAACACTCTTATCCCAGCTAAAGGTGCTGTAGCAGGGACCTGTGAACTCAGCGCTGTGCAGTGGAGGGAATTTGCACATGGTTTGACTTGGGGACTCAGTTGATTTTAGCACGCCGCAGCAGCAAGTAATATACAATGCTCAGGCCCCCATCTTGCAAGGCCCAGGTCTCACATGTGTAACCTCTAGCTTTTGGATCTCAGTTTGCTGCCTGAGCTGTTAAGCACATAACTCACGGCACTGGGCATCTGGTGGAGAAAGGACACATTCCACTTGGGCGGGCTATCCTGGCATTGAAATCTCCTCTAAGTGAGCAGATTACCATCCATAAGGCCCATGTGGGTTTGTAGTAGCAAGCAACGCCATGGCGAGAGGGGACTTTGCAATGCCTGAGACTGTTTTGCATTTGCGCCGCTGCTATGCCAAAAGTGCTTGTGCTAGAAACCGCCATTTCATGCGTAGCCGTAATCGTCTTTTGGCAACGGACGTTAAAGAAAAGCATACGGCTGACTCTTCGCAATCTACATTGACGCACTAGAGTCCATGATACAGGGCAAAACACTCACGCCATACCAACTCTCGGGAATGTATTTATATGCACTGCTTTACGTAAATGATATACTCTGTTCGGCTCCTCAGCTCGCCAAATGCAGCGAATTGTGTGAGGCCACATGCATGGAAGTCAATGGTGTTGGGCCAGGGTATGCTCCTACCATGGGATTGCACTTCAGAAAGTAGACCATTACAAGTACCTCAGATATATTATCCACAAGAACAATCCACGAAAGGTGGGGATCATAGATTGCATTACGGCGGCACGTGGTGCATACTTTGCATTCCACTCAGATTGTTCCAATGCACTTGTCACCCACTGAAGTGCCAAGCGACAACTTTTCATAGCTGAACTCTCCACGGTCATCTTGTCTAGGAATGATGGATGCTCTCTGGGATCAAGTGGAGGAGCTCCAATACCACTTTATCCGCATGGAGCTTCATACAGGAGATGTGTCATATCCTATCATCTGTTCGAGTCTGAATTATGGCCCTTGGAGCTCCTTGTGTGGAAACGGATGATCAATTAAGTGAAGACCCAGCGGCAGCTGCAAACGAAAGCTCTTGATTTAAGCTATCGATGACTCCATCAGCCTGATGTATACGAGCGAAATGGAGGTTGGTGATCTGAGCTCAAGAAATGGACAGCAAAGCTTGGCCTTGATCTCGAGGTGCTCAAGAGTCCAATAGACGATTATAGCTGGTGGATGGCATAGGCTTTTGAGCAATGGCTGCTAGCAAGAACAGTGGGAGCCATCAAGTATGCTATCTACCAGACAACAATAGGCATGGATCCCCACAGCTATCATCATGCCCCGCCCTCCCTTCCCTCCCTTCCTCACTGTGAAGAGGAAGGCATCTTCAATGTAAGGATTAGTTTGTTAGTGTAATTCTAAAGTGAGTTACTAGTTTCTTTGGCTTAAGCATTTATAAAATCCTAAATATTTAAATGTTTACTACTAGTTTTTAATTAATATTAGTAAGCCAGCCACTTTTCATTTCTCTTAGCTGCATACCATCCAAAGAAAACATCATATTTGCAAACTAAATCAATGGGAAGCTAGGTACAGAACTTTTTGTTATCACTCATATGGAGTCAAAGAATCAAAACTAACTCGAAAAATGAGAAAGCAAAGCGTGATCAAAGCCTCTGGACACTAGACTCATGCAACACTAATCCAAACAAGAAAGAGAGAGGATTTTTCTAAATTGTCCCTTGCTAAAATTATTGTATATGTAACAGGATAAAGCTGAGGAAAGAAACATTATATATATTAAATACTTTGATTTGGCTCTATATATTAGATGGTAAGAGTTTTAACATCAATGTACCTCTATTCATATTGTAGATGCTTTGCTGTTAAAATCAAGGTTTAATAATATAAACTGTTGTTTAAATTTCTAAATTAAGACCTCCTAGAAAGAATACCTTACGTTAAGTTTACCTTTATGTTAAGCCATAAGTAATAATTGTCACTAGCAGTCTTCTATAGCATTTCTATGGACAGCCTTTTATGTTGTGGCCCTTGCATATTGAAAGATTAAATGGCTACACAAGAAGAAATTATAAAAAGAATAATAGTTCTTGAAAAGGGATTTATACTCAAACTTTTAGTATTAGTTATAAATCTAAAATCTATATGTCAAATTAACATGGCTTAATGTTGAAGTGACCTTATGGACTTTAGATCTTGGTTGTTTACCAGTGCAAAATAAAAGTATATGCTCGTCCCTCAAGGCCAATAACACCTAATGCCACTATAATATTATTCAACTTGTTGTTATTGAATAGGAAGTTTAATTAAAAATCATGTCATAACAGCTTTAGAACCTGTCTTGACAGGATCTAGAGCTATAAATTTCTAATAGCAAGATACATGGGTGCAATTGCTTTGATACAACTACACAAAATACTTACTAAAAGCATAGCAAATTTAAATATCTAACAACTTGGGAAATATTACTTAAACACAGCAAATTATTCCATTACTTAGAACTTAATTGCTTCTGACAAGACAATTTGGTATCCTTGCTAGGGGACGTCCTGGTGGTCCCAATATCTGCACCCCTTACATGCTTCATGTCGAGATCATTTCAAGCTCCTTTTGAAGGAGTTCACGGTCGTGGATCGCCTTGATGTTGCTCATGGGCGTCGCTCCAGCTGGCCAGGCAATGTTAGAGCTCAAGTTCAGTGGGTAGTGAACCATCTCATCCTGTCCTGCCCAATCGAAATCGAGGAAACAAGGCTGCCCCGTTTGGACGTTGTACATGATGTTGTTTAACCTCAGATCACCATGCACCATCGTAGGTTGCAAAGCTTGTAGCTGCAGTAGTGCCCGCCAAACTGCATCCTGCATGGTCTTCCAAGTATCAGACGTCGTCTCCTCCATGCCACGGAGCTCCAACACCGATCGCCAGCCATACGCTGCCGTGAGGCAGTCCATATCCACCATTTTCCAACCGCCTGGGAGTTGCTCAATCGTATGGTGCGGTGCATATCCAGCTTGCTCCCACTGCGCATGAGCATCCTCCCCATACTGCCTGACAAACTTCACCACCCTTCGCTGTCCACTGCCAGTCGTAACCATGTAAACAAGAGTGTTTTTTATCTGATGGACCGCAGCAGCATCTGGATACTTTTCTCGAAGCGCATACGGCCAGTGCAGGGTATCTACTCGAACAGGCACTCCAGTTAGTGTAAGAGCGCTAGTGTACACCTTCACGAGTTCTTTCAAAGCTTGTCGAGTGGCATGAAGAAACCGCATCAACTGCAACGAAAACGAGCACTGAATGTAAGCTTCCATCCAGTATCAAACTTACCTTGAACAGGTGAGCATCATCCTCGAAATCAAGCAGGGATAGAAAGTCGGTCAAGGGCTGATAAATGGCCTTGTCGTGATATATGGCCCCGCCAACGCGAATGTTGGGGCCAACAAGCTCGACAATCAGCTCTGGACAGCCTGTGTAGTGGTGCCGACTAACAACAACGCTCTCTGCAGCATCAGTCCCATAATAAAAGAGGGCCTCCAAGAGCGGCTCGCCATTGAAACCCATCTCCGGTTTCACCTCGCAGGTGAGAAGAACCACCAGTATACCCAGTATCCTGGCTTTCACCTGTACATCAGGAGTCCTCCTCACGCTGCTGTCATCCCGAGATCGCTTCCCGATCTTTAACTTTACTGCATCCCGGTTAGCAACCACCACGTACTTATCGTCGTCCAGATACGATTCGAGGAACTTCGCGAATTCTTGCCGCCGAAGTGCTTCCGTCCGATAAAACTTCTTCATACGGTCACGAAGGTCACGCGCTGCAGCCAGAAGTCCTGCCTCAAGAGGCGCCATGGAATTGAAAGTGTCGATGAAGATTCCGAATGCTCTGGCACCGAGTCCAATCGGCATACCACGTTCCGCTCTCATATCCTTGAAAAGCTTGTTGTCCAGAGTTCTTTCAATCCCCTCCAGCGTGGCAACTTCGGCGCTCGGGCTTGATACACTACAGACTGCTTTGAATTTGTCAGGAATAAGGGCCAGGCCGGCTGCAAACCATGGGAGTTGTTTAGTTTCCTATGATAAAAGAACGAAAAGAAAAAAGAAAGAAATAACTTACGAGTCGTAGCAGGCGAGCCTTCAACAGTAAACGCAGTATCTCGCGACGAGCCATCCTCGATGCCTCCAACACCTTGAACCTTCCGGACAGTGTGTAGACTCCTTCCTTTGTCCGTAAACTTTAGACGAAGGCCAGCAACACGTACAGCGCTTGAGGGGTCGAGACCGAATGTGCTACAAAGGTCTTGCAAGTCAAAAAGACCGTCCGAGAATAATCCAACTGTGTCGGTCGAACCATCCTGGACATCACGTATGAGCACAAAAAACTTCAGAAAACAAGAGAAATACCGGTTTCTGGTGTCGAAACCAAAGATAACGGTCCTCCCTTATGATCAAGGCATTGTCTTTAGTTGTGCCATCCCCACCTTCAGTGGCCGCCCCCAAGATAGAATCTAGAGTTCTACTTGCCTTAGCAGCAATCATCTCGATGGCCACTCCTGAAACGTGGAGATTTGCATTCGGATCGAGGAGGAACTGCTTGCAAACGGCCGCTACATCGATCAAACCATCTGCGCCGACCTCGAACTGTAACGCCGGGCGGTCGCTATGCTGAATCCAAACCCTCATTTGAAACCGTAAAACCTCGAGAGTTCCAAACACAAGAAATAAAAGG